TTCATCACTAGTCGAAAATTTGTGGCTGTATGATATGATCACGATATTTTCTTAATTGTTTGATGAACGTATAATTTTTTTCACTTGGAACATCATGATTCTCAGGTTGTGGCTGTATCTGTATGATATGGCCGTGATCTTTTCACTTTCTATTGCTCCCATCTATGGCAGCAATCTTAGTGTTCTGATTCTCAGGAGGTCTGTGATCACTTGTTAGTGCTCTGATGCTTGCAGTTCTTTATATTCACTATGATATTACGAACACCATCAAAAAAAGTGTAAAAGAAATCACTAACTATAAAATTCCACTTTAACCTTTCGGAAAACCTAAAGCTGAAAATCTTAGGGACGGAGCAATTACAAAGTCAATGTAGAAATAAGCAGAAAAAACATCATTTACATTAAAAATGAAAATTGAAACCTCCTATTGCGAATGATGTTGAAAAATTATTTCTATTGCCAATAATGTTCAAGTCGAATCCCATAAACAGGGCCTTCTCATCCTGTAAATCCTATTTCTTAGAATATTAAACTCGAACTTGTTCAAGTTAATATTATTTTTTTATGTATTTTTGGCTATTCCACCTTCTTTTTTCTTGTTTTGAGTTTCGAAAATGTTGATTTCCTATTTGGTTCAAATATGCTATAGATTGAACAAATGAAACATATCAATAGGTTTACTTGGGTAACAGTTCCACGGAACCGATTTAATTAGGGGTGAGCATCGGGTCGAAACCAATGGTTTCTTAACAATCCAATCCAATCCAATTTTTCATTGGATTACAGATTTTACAATCCAATCCAATATGATCAAATATCAGGATCCAATCCAATCCAATCCAATGTACATTGAATTGGATTGGATTGGATGATCGGTTTGTATGAAAATATTTTTTTTGAAGATTAGCTGAGGCAACAGTCTTGGGTGAGGAGTTCCTGAACAAGCTCAGGGGCCTCACCAAACCAAAAACAATCTTGGTGCAAATGAAAAGCAAACAAGGCAAGCCTGTTAGCGACACGGTTACAAAGCCTAGGCACATTGGCCACGGAAGATGACTGGAAGTGAGAGAGGAGCACACAACAGTCATCAATCAGAACCCCCCCACTAGAATCAACAGAGGTATCTTGCGAGACAGCTATAGCAAGCTTGGTGGAGCCGCACTCGAAACAAACCCGTTGGACATTCTGTTAGCGAGTCCTATTCTATTTGGGTTTTATTTATTTTTCCTTTTGTGTAGATATTATGTAATTAGGATTCCACTTATTTCCTAATTAAACCCTACTAGGGTTTGTAACCTGTATTATAAATACCTCATTTCGGAGAATGAAATAGATCTGAAAATATTCTACCATATTGTTTGACTTGGTATCA